GTAAAAATGTCTCAGAAGAGTCTTCTCTTCCAGGGCATGAGTGACAAAACCACAATCAGAAAAGGAAAAAAATAAGAGGCTAAAAGTTCTGTATCACTAATGTGCAAACCCTATACTCCTTTCATTGCACATAAGTTATAGTCAAACCAAGTCATAATGTTCATGTCTGCCTCACTGGACTCTAGTACCTGAACTGTTTGTTACTTTTTCATGTGTCTTGTCTCCACATGCAGACCATGTTAATTTATTTCTCATGAATCTAAAACAAATATGAAGCATTTAAGACATTTCACATCCTTGTATCACTTTTTTAAAAATGCATCAGTTATTTAACTTGGTTCTTAGTAAGAAAATCAGAACAGTAATTTATGAGAATAAATTCCATTTGTCTGAGTAAAAAGATTGCAGGTAGAGCCCCGGAGCTTAGGAACAGCTTTGATTTTTGCTAAAATCTTTGAGTCTACCGCTTTCTGATCCACCTTGTGCTGCTCTGAAATCTGGTATGTCTCTTTCTCAGTATCAAAGGTCTCGCCCTCCTGGTATCTGGGTTTCTGCAGCTTCTTCTTCTTGATGTAAGCATCAGTGAGGTGTTTGGGGATTTTCACTTTGCTAATACCAATTTTTGTAGAGGTGACAATGACAAATTTCTGCTGTGTTCTTCTTAAAGGAACACAACTAAGGCTAAGAGGCCCGGTCACAAGGAGCAAGCCACTGGCCCACTGCTTCAGGGAGACCACTCTCTTGCCTCTGTGATGCCCGGTGAGGATGATCAAGATGGTGCCGGAGTGATGCTAGCTCGAAGTTTCCTCACATGCTGACTGAAGGGTTTCTCGCCATGGCTCAAGAGCTTTCAGAGCACATCTTCAGTAAGATAACATCTAGGCATTTTTCAAAGCTTAACCACCCAGGTACCTCCATTCTTGTCCCCACCAAGCGGTTTTGTGAACACAGTAAGAACTTTCTCCTTCTTTTTCTTCTCAACCTTTGATTTAGCAGCTGTGTACTTTCTCTTATACAATGCCTTTCTAGAATACATGGCAGATCAGGGGAGTATCTACCAATTCTTCTAACTAGTGACAGGATTTCGGCTGCAGTGGGGCTGCCCCTTCTTGGACTTTTTTGCCTTCACCTTACCCTTTTTACCAGTACCACTGGCAGACGTCTTCTTGGCTTCGGATTTCTTCTTTCTAGTGTCTGGCTTCTCAGTTTTTTCACCCACCATCTTGCAAGATGGGAAAGAGAACTAAGCTTCTGAATTCCAGTCTATCCTTGCATCACTTTCAATGTTCGATACAGAGCTTCCACAGAGGCATATGAAATTTGAATAAGATAGATGATAATCATTTATTCAACAAAGATTCAACAAATCTCTATCAAGTGCTTGTTCTATGAAAACCACTAAAGGAAGCATAATGCTCTCAAAGCCTGTGTCTATATCCTTTAAGAGCTAAAGCTATGGAAGGTAAGGTGGTAAACAAGGTATGTGCAACAAACCTCACGAGAAGGGTGGAAGCAAACTGAAGCAAGGAGTTCCTCTACAGAAAGCAGTTATAGAGTTCTACAGAATCTGGAGATGTGAATTTTTACACAACTAGATAATGAGAAATCCTAAGTGGATCAATAAAAGATATTGGGAGGAAAATGCTAACATAAATTTTTCATTAATGGGGGGAAGGGGAGTGTTTGTTGACCTTTTTTTTAATGTATTTAGTACACGGTCTACAGGGTCTCACTACACAGATCAGACTCAGTGAGTCTTCCGTTTTTCAGCCTCCCAAGCGCTGGGATTACAACCGGTCTCAGTTGCCACGTCTCAGTGCGCCCAAGGGACAGGGATGGCATGGCACCAGGGGATCAAACCCCAGCTGCTACACTCTGCCTAAGCAGGCGCTTTAGTCTGCTAAGCTATCTGGCGGGCCCAAGATTGGCTCTTGATAATAGTTCAGGCTGGCCTTGA